GGACAGGGACAGGGACAGGGACAGCGGGGACAGGGACGGGGACAGGGACAGGGGACAGGGACATCGGGGACAGGGACAGGGACAGGGACGGGGACAGGGACAGCAGCTTCTCTGCTGGGACAGCGGGGACACATCAGGGACACTGGGGACAGGGACAGCGGGGACAGCGACAGGGACAGCGGGGACAGGGACAGGGGACAGCAGCTTCTCTGCTGGGACAGGGACAGGTCAGGGACAGCGACAGGGACAGTGGGGACAGTGACAGGGGACAGGGATGGGGACAGCGGGGACAGGGACAGGGGACAGCGGGGACAGCGGGGACAGGGACAGGGGACAGCGGAGACAGGGGACAGCGGGGACAGCGGCTTCTCTGCTGGGATGGGGACACGTCAGTGACAGCGGGGACAGCGACGGGGACAGGGACACTGTCAGTGCCACCAGGGTCCACCTAGGATGGGGACTTGGGAGTGGCACAGGGGACACCATCAGTGCCACACGAGAGGGGCACAGGGGACACCACTGGTGCCACCAACATACAAAACATGACTGCAAGGAACCAAGGCCACCTCGGCACAGGACGGGGAGGGGACAGGTGACACTGAGGCCACACCGGGTCACAGCGATGCCACACCAGTGCCACAGCGGGAGCGCGCTCACCTTGCACAGTGACGATGACCTCGTGCACGGCCACCGTGTTCTTCTTGACGCGGCACTGGTAGGTGCCGGTGTCGCTCTCCTGCAGGTCGGCCACGCGGATGGAGGCGTCACGCTGGCCCGGGTCCGTCTGCACGAAGGCCACGCGGTCCTGCAGCCCTGAGCTGCCGTAGTTCACGTGGTGGTCGTGGTAGGACAGGAACTGGGGACACGGGGACGGCGTCAGCGCCGCCCCGGCGACGGAGCCGGGCGAGGGGATGGGTTGGGTTGGGAGTTGGGTTGGGGTTGGGTTGGGTTTGGAGTTGGGTTGGGGTTAGGGTTGGTTGGGTTTGGAGTTGGGTTGGGGTTGGTTGGGTTTGGAGTTGGGTTGGGGTTGGGGTTGGTTGGGTTTGGGTTTAGAGTTGGGTTGGGGTTAGGGTTGGGTTTGGGTTTAGAGTTGGGTTGGGGTTAGGGTTGGGTTGGGTTTGGAGTTGGGTTGGAGTTGGGGTTGGTTGGGTTTGGAGTTGGGTTGGGGTTAGGGTTGGTTGGGTTTGGGTTTGGAGTTGGGTTGGGGTTGGCTAGGGTTTGGAGTTGGGTTGGGGTTA